GGGGGTAAAATAAACCGGATAGGAGTACTTTAACTTATCAGGGGGTAAAATAATAATCTAGGAGTACTTTAACTCGTCAGGGGGGTAAAATAACTTAAATAGGAGTACTTTAACTCGTCATGGGGGGTAAAATAATAATCTAGGAGTACTTTAACTTGTCAAAGGGGTAAAATAACCCGGATAGAGGTAAAATAAAACGTATGGGGTAAAATTTTACTCCTTTCCAGTTTATTTTACTCCTAGACGTTTTATTTTACCCCTAAACATTTTATTTTGTTCAATTCTGAGTATTTTACTCCTTTTCTAATCACCAGTGTTAGATGTTGGTGAACATTGATGTGTTGCTATTAGATGTTGGTGAACATTGTTGTGTTGCTGTTAGATGTCGGTGAACATTGTTGTATTGCTGTTAGATGTTGGTGAACATTGTTGTTTTGCTGGAAGATGTCGGTGAACATTGTTGTTTTGCAGCAAGATATTGGCAAACATTCTGTATCGTGTAATAAAATATATTCATGTCCTTAATCATTCACAATTTACGTAATTTTTCGTACACTTGTGTACTTTTTATTTTCTCAATAAGTTAGACTTAAGTTTGATCTATCAGTAATTTTGTTTTAATACTAATTTTTTCCACTGGGTAAAAGCGTCATATGTTCAAAATGACACAATAGAAACAATTTCCATGTTTTTTAATAGTTTCATAATTATGCCTCATTGGTCGGTTTCTTTACAGTTATCTGGAGTACCTCCCCGACTTCCTTCCGTTCCGGACCAGATTTGTGTACAGTAACTTCATGTACACGCTGGCGGGACACGTCTCCGAGAAGCTCGGAGGAAGAACATGGGAAAATCTTGTCCGAGACCATCTGTTCCGGCCCCTCGATATGGACACTTCCGGGTTCGTGACGGAAGTTTCCGACTTCGACAAAAGTTTTGCCTTATCATACGCCAGTAGGAATCGAAAACCTGTGCGATTAAACGAAAAACTCTTACAGTAAGTGTTATTAGAAACAACAGTCATTATTAATAGTAAGAACCAGCAGGAACAGAAGGTAATATTTTACAAGGGCATATGAGAGAAATTAAGAAAAGAGGAGAAACGGAAAGTACACACAGAGAGAAACAGGAAGTACTTTACTGGTATATATAAAAACAGGAAATGACGTAAAAATCGATAGGACACGTAGTAGTTTAATGATTTGAACACGCGTAAAATCAACTGCATGATTGTAACGCGCCATACACACAGCAATAGGGTTTTTACGTATTACGGATCGGTAATTCAAAACGAAACGAAACAATTCTTAGTATTTTAGATAAGAATGGTGATGTGATGTTATGCCACTATTTAACATTTTTATTTTATTTAGGACCATGTCCGATGACGTTTCCTGACCTAAATGTAAGGTTGATGTACGTAGTCACACGCACCGAGTGGCAGTGACAACATCCAATTATGTAAAGTAATCTAGTAAAAACCGTGCTCCACATGTTAGCCAGGGGCGCATCCGGCATTGTGTTTGAAGTAAAGAAATCAATTCTGAAAATTAAGTATATATATAGAACAGTCTTGTCAATTTTGTTAATATTGATAATGTGTCAGAAACAAAATACGTTGATAAAAAAGATGGAAACAAGTTTGCAAAAATTGAGGTAATTTTGATTTCTACGCCAACGAGAATATCCGGCATCCTTGTTGCACTTTTAAGGTAGTCAGACAATTTCCGGTGTTGGCTCAACCTCATTGGTCTGTGATGGAACAAAAGTCGGACAGTTTTTAATATGAAAGTGCGAAGCTTATAAACCGACAGTGTGAAAGGGATGTCCGGGATAAGTCGCGCGCTGTCGTGTTATTGAGAGTTGTCTCTTTCAGCCATTTGCAAGTTTCATGTTATTTATTAACAAAAGACATATTGGTACTGGCATGTGATACCGGTCCGATGCAGGGTATTATGGCTGGTCGTTTTCCAAGGTGATTTGAGGTCAAATGTGTTTGCTTTGTTTTCTGATTAGCTGAAACATGTTTTACTACCTCCGTCATTTTCCTTCTAGCAGTAGAAGTAATTGTGAGGCACGGTAGTCTAGTGGTAGGACGAAGGGTTGCGGGTTCGAGTCACGTCACGGCGCTGTGTTGTATCCTTGAGCAAGATACTTTACTCCGCTTCTTCCAGTCTACTCAGCTGTAAATGAGTACGTGATTGGGCAGTACTAGAATTTTTAATGCTAGCTGTGAGCGCCGAAATGGCAGCACCAACTGTATACTCCCCAGGGAGTTGAGATAAATATTGACTGGTTGCAAAGGCCCTATAACCACGGATAATAATTTGTGAACCGCTTTGAGACGACCTACGAGCTAGGTTGTGATACTTATATCTTATATCGATAGACCTCTATAAAATGGTGTTTGTCATATTCGTTTGCAATGGTGTACATAGCCGAGTTTGAATTGCCATTTGCATAGTCAATCACAATCATGGAAACATATCAAATTAAAATAACTACATGGATTGTTTAATGCAGTTTAATTGTTGACCAATCGCGCTTTTGAGATTTGTCACCTATACGAAAATGTCAGTTAGTACAATCCACGTTTTGTGCCAACTAAATCTCTCTGAAGTATCTATCTTTTCTCTTGTACTGTTGTTCTTACTGGTTTCTTTAGATATTTGTCAGCTAGACCTGTTAGTTATGACGTTCTCATTGTCTTTCCAGTTGTGTCGATCCACTCGGCCCAGCCGGATCAATCTACTCTACTGCCAAAGACATGGGTAGGTGGATGCTGTTTCATTTGACCGCTTTCCAGAACACGTCCTTGACTCCACTAAACATAGACCATGACATCCTCGCGGAGACGTACGCAAGTCAGATGGCAACGCCCTTTCAAGAGAAAAATTTATTCCGCCCCAAGTACCCCATAGATGACGTTTCGTTGGCGTACGCACTTGGTTGGGTTACTTCCGTTTACAGAGGCGAGTATTTGTTCACGTTAATTGTGTGTGGTACATGTAATAAGACAGGTGGGTTTTGCTGGTAAGGATGATACATAGGTTGTAGAACGAAGAAAGGGTGATGCATTGTATCTTTGCATGCAAACGGGTGGCTTTAGAGTGACAAGTAGCACCGGGTACTACCGGTAAAACGATTCCGCCGGGGAGCATATCTAAATTTGAAGGGGATCACCATTAAATTGCAGTTTAAAGCGTGACTTAGGTTGATATTATTTTAATTTTGTAAAATGTGTACAAACTCTTGGAAACATAATATGCCTACGGAACCAAGCGATATTTTTAGAAAAAAAAATGTATTTACCATTGTATGGCATTGACACTATATAACCCTACCAAATTCAGTTGGCATTTATATAGGCTATGAATGCCATAGACTGATTGTTGACGTCATCATTATTATGGCTTCATAATTGTTACGTTTGATCCCACTGACCCTCCCTTGGCGATGGCTGTTCTATTTATTAAAAAAAACATAGAATATTTGAACTAAATGCTGCATATTGATAAGTGTAATTGAATTTTCTATGAGATGAACAGGTACCAAAATGATAAATATAAATATTGAACTGCTTTCAGCTGTCATTCATAGGCAATATGAATACCAACTTCATTGAATTTGCATTTGTCCTGTTGGCATTCATATTACCTATGAATGCCAACTGAAAGCAGTTCAATAATTAAGCAATCAGTCAAGCTCAAACACTTGCGTTTCCAATTGATGCTCAACATATTTGAGTGAAGATTGACTTTATTTAACCATTATCGCTCAAGTTACTAATTTATTCGCAACATTTTGATAATCGTATTATCCTGATATTGATCTGGCATGGTGTGTTTGCGAGTTCCTATCCACATAATATTAATTGACTTTTGTTTTATTATCCAGGTTATAAGCGTGTTTGGCATTCAGGTGGTATCGTTGGATTTTCTTCGTTGCTTTGGTTGTTTCCACACGAAAATGTCGGCATATTTGTCTCACTCACAGGATCACGAGATAACGACAACCAGCTCCCCATCAGAGTCATTATGAGTCGCGCGGCGGACATGTTGCTAGGAGAAACGCCCTGGCTCAACCGTGACTCCGCCTGCTCGTTTCCCGCCCCCTGGGGTAATGTTTCGCCATCCATCCCTGTGTCAGGAGTAAGCCAGTTCAAGACGTTTTGGAACATCAGTCGGCCAATGGAACATTACGTGGGCTCTTACGGCCATCCAGCGTTTGGCAACATATCCGTCACGATAGAGAACCACACGCAATTACTTCTCCATTACGGCCGGTTTGGCCGGATGGTCCTCACCCCTGTAACGGACTCTGCCTTCATAGGACGGTATATAGGGTCCCTCTGGTTCGCGACACAGGCGGACGGACAAGTCATACCTGTCAGTGTAAACTTCTCACTTCCGGTATCGGGAAGTGCCTCGAACCTATCGTATCCCGTAGACAATGCTTTTGCGATCACATTTCGGAGAGATTTCAGAAAAAATGAAAACGGGGGTTTGCAAGGTCCACTGCAAATCACGTGCACAACCTCAGGAAATACACGTGTGAAGTCAACCATGTGGACACTGTGTGTTGTGTTTATTGTGACGATTTTTTAACCTGTCTTCGTGTCGCCTATAACACTAGTTTTATCATGTTTTGTAGTACATTTAGTTCATTTTGTAAAAAAAAATAAAAAAATCTTCATACATCTGACATTTATTTATATAAAAAAAATAAACAAATTTCTCAAAATTTCTCATAACCAATGCTTCATGCGAGTAATCGTTCATTCTAGTATCACGTTGTACAAATTTCCTAAAGTCAATAAGCCACGTAAGTAAGCATGCACTGTATTCTTGCCCCTTAGTCGATACATACATGTAAATAAACCCACATTGTATTCTTGCGTTGTATAAATTCCCCTTAGTCGATACATACATGTAAATAAACCCACATTGTATTCTTGCGTTGTATAAATTCCCCTTAGTCGATACATACATGTAAATAAATCCACATTGTATTCTTGCGTTGGATAAGTTCTCCATATGCCCCATCCGAAAACCTACGTGTGAGTTTATATTGTATCATTATGTAATTCACTATTCCGTTTATTTCCTAATTTAATAAAGATTTGACGTTTTGTATTTGTTTTGATGTGTGATGCGTTGTGTCCCCCCCAGTCAAAAGGTTGCTGATAAAAGCAAGCTTATGAAAGTAAATATTTTCCAGACGAAAACAGTTAGTGCCTCTCCGTCATCTTGTTGAGTAATATGCGATCTATCATGGCGTGAAGTCAAATCCAAATTGGAACGGAAACACCTGAGTGATCTCATATAGACCTTTGTCGCCTACCGAAATGGTAACCTAGAAGGCTGCTCCGACCTTTGGTAAAACTGTATCGTACACCAGCAAATATAGTGCATAAAGACAATGCACGGAGAATTAAATCTTACTTTGAGAAGTTGTTGATCTGAGTTACTCCCCTTGGTACATATGTAGTAGGACGAGGAATAGTGATAAAGATACTGCCGTCGCTGGGGTTCGCACCCGCGACCCCTTGGCTCTCCAGCCCGATGTTCTACCGCTGAGCTGAAGGGAAATTCCCTACAGGTGACGCTTGTAAGGCAACCTAATTAATGCACATCTTTTACACTATTTCCCCCTTTTTCAATCACCAACCCGGGTTCTTTGACTCCCCGCCAAGGGTTCTCCTACAGCTTAAACGGGGAGGGGCAACGGCACCAGTTTGTAGTAGGACGAGGAAAAGTGATAAAGATAGTGCCGTCACTGGGGCTCGAACCCGCGACTATTGGCTCTCAAGTCCGATGCTATTTCCCCCTTTTTTAACCACCAACCCGGGTTCTTGGACTCCCCACCAATGGTTTTCCTACCTTGAACGGGGAGGGGCAACGGCACCAGTTTGTAGTAGGACGAGGAATAGTGATAAAGATAGTGCCGTCGCTGGGGCTCGAACCCGCGACTATTGGCTCTCCTGCCCGATGTTCTACCGCTGATCTAAATGGAAATTCCCTACAGATGACGCTTTTAAGGCAACATAATCAATGCAAATCTTTTACACATATGGTTGTTAGTTTTGGGTTAAACATTGAATGAAGACAGGTGACTTAGGCGACGCCACCGAAGAGAGAGAGAGAGAGTAGAAAAGTGAGAAAAGAATGAGAAATACATAGATATAGATCCCTAATACTGTAAAAGGGGCAATATCCTGAAATTGTGACAGGACTTTTACTAAAGACACGGTAGCAGGGAGCATTTCAAACAAAATGTATCCACAACATTTAAACATTGAAATAAGGAAGACCTTTTTCCCTACGAGTAATAAAATCATGAGAAACAGTCTTCTCCAGAGGGTGTGATATCAACACCATCAATAAATACATTTAAAAACACACTCGATAAACATATGAGATGTCAATAACCGAACTGTCATATGTGTGTACCTGTATGCATTTTCTAAACATACAGATCCTGTATCGGAAAATAAACTTAACTAACTTAATCGACTTTGATTTAAATAGCCCATAAGCAGAAGTTTAAGACTACGATTCTGCTGGGGCCCCGAACGAGTTACATCTTACAATAACATGAAGTAGTTTGGTTTGGTTCAAATTTGTTAAACGTCCTATTAACAGCTACGGTCATTTAAGGACGTGCCTCCATGTGTGTAGTGTATGCGTGCTTGCGTGTTGCTATGCAGGAGACGGGGTATGTTGGTGTGCTTGCCTCCTTGTGATAGCGCGGATCTGATGCCGACTTAATAGTGCTACCTCACTGAAATGCCATGCCGAAGGCACCCAGCACAGTATTCCGCCGGGTCACATTATACTGACAACGGGGGAACCAGTTGTTGCCATTCCTTTTAATGCTGAACGTTAATCAGGGAATAACAACTACCATTTTTTAGGACTTTGGTATGTCCCGGCCTGGGGACAGAACACATTGCCTTCCTCATCTGGGCAAAAGCTCAATATTCAGCCTAAATTAAATTGCCAAGCAAGGCGCTAGGAAATAAAAAGTAGTTAGAAGTAGAAAGAAGGATAAAGATCCCAATTATTCAATGGGCGCAGCAGATTTATTTTGGTCGCTTTTGTGTCCCCAAATAGAGGACACCAAAGCAAATCCCCCATTCTGCAGGGCTTCCCACATTAGTCGCCTCCTACGATAAATGTAGTGGGTAACAGCAGGCGTACTCTTTTCCCGACCCCCACCTACAGGGGTGTAAGTATGGTTCTGCAAAGGTTACATATAATTGTACATAAACCACCGAATTTAATAAAAGACGAAGATATCTTTAAATCGACAAGTCTCTATGACTATATATACTGCATAATTGGAAATTACCTAAATATTTGTTTCACAACATTTATGATTCAAATTATATCAACCAACTTACGGTAACTCATTCACCCCTGAAGACACATTTGAACTCTTCCAATAAAATGGTTGGAATAGTTCATTATGAAATGTCATCAATCATCCTCGTCGGCCCGGACAGTAGAGCGAAAAGGGAGTCAACGTGTGGGAGAAAGCCGGAATATGGAGAATCTAGCGGATAAGGAAATTCAACGATACGTTGCGTCTTTGTTAATATATGTTACCCCGCTGATTCATATTCAAATTCTACGTTTAATTGAGGCCCCAAAAATATATTTTTTGTTGCGTCATCTCTCTAGATAAAAGAAAACATATGTTTGTGTAATTTTTAATTAGTTCCATTTTCTTAATGATTGAAACAAAAGTACGCTCTCACACGTTCATATCCATGATTTCTTGAACATTTTTCTACAGCAACAGAGTGATAAATCTGTGGAACTCTCTAATAGAGGAGGTAGTAATCTCTCCAACGCTCAACACCTTCAAGTCACGGCTCAACAGTCACTGGAAAAATAACCTGACAAAATTCAAGCCATCTTTTTATTAGTTACATATATATATTTGCAAGTCTAACCAGTCAAAAGTGAACAATGTAACACATTGACTGTTTGGCACTGACCATGCTTTTAAAAATCACATGTTTTAACCATCATATTTTAAAAGGAAAGGGATCAACAGTGGGAGCTGAATACTCCAACCCTACCAGATAAAGAAATGAACCTGTAACTGTAAATACCTATATAGCAACCAGAAGTCTGATTGGTACGCGTGTGTACAGCATACATTAGAAGAAAGGACCATCATACATCACCACGAGCTACTAGTTAGCTCACAACGATGTTATCTGAGCGAAACTGGGCGAAATTATTAAAACTAGAAGTTCTTGAGCCATTTTACGAATGCTGTCGTGTCGCCCTTTGTTCACCTACTAGCAGACCAGTAGCGTTTTCTATTTCTTTTTAGCAGCAATATCTATGATTAAATATGGTTTTAATGTCTGGTGCATATGGATTCTTTTGACGAGCAAGTTAAAACTACGCTGCAGTTGATATCTTATATAATGATAAACTCGTACAGATTTTCTGTAACACGTAACTGTCCAAACCAGTTCAAGGGGCATAACTCTTAAACTCGCGTTTACAATCCAGCATCAGCAATCCTGCCATCACTAATCTCTTTGTTCAACCTACAAGCCAGTATTTCCTTGGAAAGATCAACTTTTTCTCAGAAAAAAAGTTTACCAAGTAATCCAGTCGTCTCACTGTTTCAGTCTAAATCAACTTATTTTGCTCGCTCTTCGTTACCCGCACGAGGTTTAAGACTCTATTAATTCAAGAACGACAACTCCGATGTCTTTGCTCAAAATACATCTGTGTTTGGGTAGGTTTATTTACTCCATTGGTGGGCTATGGAGATTTTGATGTTAAAATGTGTATTGTTCACATGTGTTTATGATTATGATTATTATTGAAGTACCTCCGAACAATTGAATTCTGTAGAACAGATTTCTATATCCGGGTGTTTGGGTTCCCTATAACTTCCATGAACACATTTGGTTGTCAGCTGGCTGCAAATTTGTTAGTGTTTTTGTCTGTTATTGTATTTTTGCTTGTAATGTAATGTCATTTTCACAAGTAAATAGTCTCTCGGTTTCCGACAGCTGTTCATATAAATTTGTATTAAAATTACTCTACAGATCAAAAATACAATTCAAATTAATGTTGATAATCGGGGAAAGTTAACTGTGACGTACATATTATTAAAGAAGCATGTCCAAGACACTAAAGTTGCATGAAATTCAATTAATGAATGTGACACACTAAGGCCAAACGGTTTTTAAACACAAATTATAAATGAAGAAAATCAAGCCATGTTAATTATAAAACATCAAGGATAAGCCGATAGTTCAACATAACCGCGTGTAGCACTTTAAACGAAATCACTGCACTCACTTCGTATAAGACGGCGGTTTTTGAGAGAGAAAATACATGTTTTTTGTTTGTTTACTATCCCAGGAGAATTTCAACTCCAAATGTGATCAATGAATGAGGAATACCATCAGAAAATAACAAAAATTACAACAGAAAGGCTATAATATAGACCAGAACAAAACAGTGATCTAATTCGACAATAATCAGGAATCAACCGAGGTCAGGCAATTAATAATGACACGAAAATCCTATATGTAGGTCCATCAGTGTTGGATCTGTTGGACCAGAGTTGTTCGTTTGTGAAGTAGGGCACATGCATGCTCTCTGCACCCCTGGAATATGTCATAGCAAGATAGAAGGCACGAAGATCGCTAGTCGTTTTTACCGTTATGCAACCGCGAGATTATTTTGATGTATCGTCTCACCACAAGTTTGTGCACACTGAGCCTTCGATGTTGCCATGACATATTCCAGGGGTGCAGAGAGCGAAAGTGAGCGTAACAAACCGGTTCCTCCGCATAAAGCAACCCCTGACTGCCATGAAGTTAAGAGTGTTTAAGCGGTTAGCAGCGCCGCTTTCGTTTATCGCGGTTTAAACGGTTTGACCGGTTGGACCAGAGTATACCCGAAAATGTTACATTCAAAAACAGACAACCCGGTTGTTCCGCACAAACGAGCAGACCTTTGGTATGCTGGTAATCCCCGACTCGACTCCTGGCGCAAAGATTCAACAACAGCAATATGACACCAACCAGACTGATTTTTTTTTATATCCAGTATTGACACAAAAAATATTTTTTAGAT